GTGACCTGCAGGTACATGGACATGCATCTGTCTAGAGTTTAGAGGGTCCTGGGTTCGAATCCCGTTCTGACCTAAAACTTTTCCTCTCCTGTTACAATTTTAATCAAAATGGCCTCTAGCTACACATGTAGTAGATTTTTTGTTACATTTGGACATTGTACATTGACATCATTTATTTCTCTAATAGACATTTAACTACTAGTCCAAACATTAATCTATGTTCCCATAACATTCTCATGAGATTACATCTTAAAAGGGTCCTTTCAATAACAGCTTTACATGAATCTGATTAAGACATTTGTATATGTGTTGTGTTGACAGTTGGCTCTGTGGCTGGGGTAACCAGAGATGGTCCTAGTCTGGTCAGTTATAAGCTGTACAGACAGTGTTATCAGTTGGCCTCCTGTTACACAGTGGCTGTCTGCAGACAACATGTACAAAGGTTAGTCGGATACATTTCCAACCAGCCAAGGAATGGATTTCACTTTTTACAATTCTTTAAATAGCAAGAATCCTTAACCTACACATACCAGTCTTACCCAGCCACACCAGTTACCTTAAAAATACAATCAGGTCAATTCCAACAGAGAAACTCAAATTTACTTTAAGTTCCATACTTTGTAACATCCTAATAACTAATTTTGATACTTGTACCATTCATTCATATTCTAATTAGCTATAGATACAACTCAATAGACAGTCAAAAGGGATCAAGATCAATTATGGCAGTTTACATATTCACACAGTCTTAATCTGTCTTTAAAACTTTTCACACATTTTATGTTGTAGAGTCAAATCAGTTCTAGGTATATATCTAACCCCTGTCACATCATACTTTAAAATTGTGTTAAATTTCAAAGAATTTCAGATTTAGTGTTTTGTCTTCATTGTATGTGAGCCTTTTTGACTAACATACCATTAAAACATTGGTGTATTAAATTGTCTGGCCATGGCCATAAGACATTGATTTGGTAAAAAAAAAAAGGCCCAAGAGACTTTAGCATTCACACAAATGTCATGGGCTTTAATGCTTCACAAACATTTATAAAATTTGAAGTCAATCACTGAATCTGTTTAAGAGAAGAATATATACCAGCTAAACAATCAATCAGAGGTCATGATTTCTTGTATATGATTTCCATATCCACTTGTAAAGTATACACAACACAAGGTCAGGACCTCATAACTGAACATTTGTACCAAGCTTGAGAAGACGAAACTGTCTCATGCAAAGTTGAGCAAAGAAGAGGGCAGAGTGGACAACTTGAAATTCCTGATCCACACAAATGTAACAACACTTGGTGGTGACCTTATAAGGAACATTTGTACTGAGTTTGAAGTTGATGAATCCCTGTCACCATTCTAGAGAAGAAGTTGAAAATGTCTCAGCCAAGGCCAAGGCAGCCGTCTTGGATTTTTGGAATTGGCAAAAAAAAATAACAATGCTTGGTCAGGACCTGATCAGTAAATGTGTACCGGGTTTGATGTTGATAACCACTGTCACTGCAACTCTGAGCTGTTCTAGAAATAACTATGGTAGACGTTTCTTTATACAGATACAAATGTGCATTATTTAAATCATTAATTTGTACATTGTACATAATCACCGCTGGCCGATATAATGATTCTTCTCAATTTGATTTTGTCAGTCAATTTTAATTAAATATACAACCAATGAAACAAATATTATAACACTTATTGATAAAGCACATTTTCAATTTATTTATTTATTTATTTATTTANCCATTTTCAATTTATTGATCAATTTAAAAAAAAAATACATCTGAGTAATCCAAATCAAGGTTATACAGTGACTCTCTGTCAAGAGATAAAACATTAACAGAAATAAGGGGACACCTTTTTCTCCCACCCTTCACAGGCGTGACTCCCATTTTAGCCGGGAAAGATCAGCTTGTCACCCCCGCAGGGTGATTTTTTTGGTTGTCTAACCCTCGGCAGAGTCTTGGGTTAGACAACCAAAAAACATCACCCCTCGGGTTGGAGATTTCTCTGTCACACCCTCAAGATAGGGGAAGATTATATTAATCCTTAAATATCAAGGATAATTTGGTTTGGAGAAAAAACATCTTGCTGATAGCTTTTCAATGTGTAAGATTGACGACAATATTATAAACAGTATTTATGTAAAATAGGGAGATTAGCAATAGTTAGCAGTGAGGGTTATATAGAAAGTTACATTGCTTTTGAGTTTGTTTGATGAGCTGTGAAGTCAAGTACAAGGGCCGGCCGGGCCCATCTTAACGACTAGTATCTCCCTTTATACATTACCCCATTTACTTCATGCTTGAGTGATACAGTCCAAGTGATAACATATACCAACCCAGGATTGTTTTTGTTCAGTTTCAAGCCAAATACAGGCTATTTCCCCAAGCTAAAAAAGACTTCCCAAAATGACCCAGAATTAGGAATATTTTCATTAATTTCAAGAAAAATAATGCTATATTTTACCAATTCATAAAAGATTATGAAGCTGTTTGTAAAATTCAGGTAAAAAAACCACTGTCAACTCACAGTGTCATATCGTTAAACATATACCGACCCCCAGTGTCATATCATTGAACATATACCAACTCCCAGTGTTATGTCATTGAGCATATACCAACTCCCCATCTCATGTCATTGAACATATACCAACTCCCAGTGTTATGTCATTAAACATATACCAACTCCTAGTGTAATATCATTGAAGATCTACCAACTCCCAGTGTAATGTCATTAAACATATACCAACTCTCAGTGTAATGTCATTAAACATATACCAACTCCCAGTGTAATGTCATTAAACATATACCAATTCCCAGTGTTATGTCATTAAACATATACCAACTCTCAGTGTAATGTCATTGAAGATCTACCATCTCCCAGTGTAATGTCTTTGAACATAAACCAACTCTCAGTGTAATGTCAGTAAACATATACCAACTCCCAGTGTTATGTCATTAAACATTATACCAACTCCCAGTGTAGGGTGATTAAACATATACCAACTCCCCATTTAATGTCATTTAACATATATACCAACTCCGGACCCCAGTGTTATGTCATTGAACATATACCAACACCCAGTACAATGTCATTAAATATTGACCAATTCAAACTCCCAGTGTAATGCCATTGAACATATACCAACTCCCAGTGTAATATCAATGAGCAATCTACCAACCCCCAGTGTAATGTCATTACGTACATTCATAACAGTGTGACAGTGCCTATAGGGTCACCCCGAGGTTATCACTGTCACCGAGACAAAGCCGAGACAAAGACAGTGATATCTGAGGGGTAATCTCACAATTTTGCACTGTCTCACCACACTGTCGCCCGTTGATAGAGCGTTGGGAAGCACCCTACTATTGAATCAATGTTAAACCGAATGTGACAGTGTGAAATAAACTTTTTGTCTCGACCAATTAGATTACTGGATTTTTACTAGAGGTATATTAATAAATAAATACTGACCCGCAGTGTAATATCATTGAACATTTACCAACTCCAAGTGTAATGTCATGTACATTTACCAACTCAAAGTGTACATGTAATGTCATTGAACACAACCAACTCCCAGTGTATATCACTGAACATTTACCAACTCCAAGTGTAAATGTCATTTGACAAATACAAACTCACAGTGTCATGTCAGCAACATCCTGCTAACCAGTGAAATAAACAAACACACACAAGTAAATCACAATGATCTGCCATAAAATAATAATTAAGATTTTCAAGAGAAAATGGGTTGATAATTAAGTATGTCTTTTTGGCACCAAATATTTGTATCTGTTTTCTTAACAAATATGCAGAACTAGCATTAGAAACAAAAATAAATAACACTTATCAAAATTATCTGCTTTAGAAATATGTAAGAACTGAAAATTACTCATCTTTTTAACTGTAATTTCTTTTATTTAGAAAAGATTGGTTGAGAAAATTTGTTGTGATAAAGGATTTGATTTTTTCACATTATTTACATACATGTAAATCATTACTTGCTGTCTTGGAAGGCAATAAAGAGTAGTAATTATACTACAGTGACTGTTCTTTTTTCACACAAATTTTCATAATCTCGCCAGTGGTCTCGTGTTCCCCTCACTCCAGTTTAAAAAAAAAAGGGAGAAAATAACTAATTTCAAAGAGTACATAAATCCTTGCTTCTTTATCTGTCACATGAAAAACACAATAATAAAACCAAAACCAGAGGAAGAGGAAAGTTATCACTATTCTGTAATTATCACTGGACGTCTATTGTACTGCTACATTTGTTAGGTGTACAACAATGACAACAACTGAGCAAGCTAGGGCGAAGACGGTCTGAGCGGTTGGCGCTTACTGCAACATGGACGATTATATAATTATGGCACTGTTACTGTATATGTGCTAAATCGTCTACACATATTAAAGAAACTAGAGCTATATAGTCGCAGGCAACGTGTCATTTTAATTAAATGGCTAGTTCCGGGTTGCCATCCTACAGCTGCCTATGAGTATAAGACGACAGTGGCCGCTGGTGACAGAGTTCAACAATACTCAATAGGGTTATATACTTTATAACCCGGCCCCTTACCGACTATGACTTTGTTCGTTCAAACTCATTATATAAATACAATACAAAAATAGTTCCAGGATCAAAACATCATTCAAGTTAAACACTAGAAAAATCTTACCTTAATAGCTGAACTCAAGTTTCTGTTTCAAATTCCTTCAGGTTGTTCCCATATGGTTTCACGCACCGACTAACATCGTGACATTTCCAATACGTAAACACTGAACTCTTTGGTAAAGAAGTAAACGTTTGGTAGCAGCCGAATATTTAGTTTCGTATAGAGGGAACTTATTGCTTTTGATATTCCATTATGACGCATTATAGATATATACTTTTATTAAATATCTTAATAAGTATGCATTGTTTATAAATTATATTAACCTCAAGAGTATTTTATTATAAACAATCGAAATTATGAAAACAGCTAGCTTTGCATGTTATCTCATGACTTCCGGAAGAAAAGACACTTCTGTACCAGTACAAATGTTTCAAGATGTTTTTCAATGCAGATGATGATGAACAAGACTTTTTATCGTCATCAGGAGGGTCAGTTTATCATCATAAATCTTTGGCATTTCTTATTTTCGATTACTGAACCTTTTGATCTTCGGAACAAACATTTTGAAACCAACAGAATAACAACAGTTCACTTGACAGGACAAGGGGGTGTGGTGTTCTACATGTAGATCTCATGACCATTACTTGTAACTATCCGTGATAGTCCGTTCGTTAATGTCCAGGTGTTAAAAATATCAGACGAAACGTCTTGATTCAAAGGTATTTTAATAATAATTAAAAAAGTAAATTTTATCTAATGAATACTAGCTGTACATGTTCACACTAGCTTTTGATGGCATTTGCTTGATACTCTGGAGCTTTTGGTCTTATATGTTGATCTGAACGACTTGGCCTAGTCAGAGTGGCAGCTCTATCATATTGTATCTTCCCCATCAATGCCCAAGATGTTCCCATCCCAGATAGGTAACATGTTGGTGACACAACTGCAGCTTTCTGCCAAAGCAGTTTCTGCCTATGAACCTGTCTGTCTGCATGGTATTTGACCATCTCCAGTTGGTAGATGTGCTATTTGCATAATGAGCCCCATATATAGGCAGTGCAAGCATCAGGTGCACTAGTGGAATGTACATGTACATCATGCTGATGCTTAATTCATTTTCTGAAATTATCACCCAGATACACAATCATATATATATGTGTGTGTATTAAAATCACTTCTATTGACTAATGGGTCAAAATACCTAAAGCTCATTTGAATTGAATCAAAATACACAAGTCATTCAGCATTCAGCAGTGTTATTCCTGGAACATAAACTCTATACCACTTATTTTTTCCCAGTGTTCTATATATTTTGTGTGTGTGAACCACTGTTCACAAGTTTTACCTCATTGTACCCACCTTCCTGAATCAGTCCAGGATATGCAACAGAAAAGGTGTTCAGGTGGGGCAGTGGATGGCACACTTGCTGTTCACCGAGATGACCAGGGTTCTACTGAAAATGTATTGGGGTCACCTGCCCAACCATTTAGTTTTTATCCATGTACCCTGGTTTCCTCCTTATTTAGAAGAGTGATTCATATTAGTTGAAAAAACTTGTTTTAAATTTTTTGTAAAATAAACGAAGTTTATATATTATATTTACCAAATAAAATGTAAGTAAAAACATCTTTTAAACCCAGTTAGCACTGCAACTTAAAAAAAGGGCTTACATTGTTAACTTAAGATTCAGTCTAGTAATTCCATAAGCCTCTGATGTAAATATGATCTAAACATAGTGTTTTGTTATTTTTTTGAAGCATCTTACAGTCATTTACAATTTATTATAATGTACATGAAGCTGAAGTGTGCTGACTTGATTCAAACAGGTCGAAGCTTGCTTCTCTCTTTGGAGTGGACAAAGCCAGCAACCAAGGAGGCAATGAGTCCTTGAAATACACAGCTCCAAAACAACCCAAGAAAAAAGGTGAATATCATATTTAGTGTATTTGGTTTTATGGACAAAATGTGTGTACCACATTCATGTAATGAGTGCCCCTCCCCTTATAATTGCCCCTCTCCCTTTTTGGACATTTATTGAAATTATTTAACTATAAATATAAGCTCCCCCAAAACACCTCTTCACGTCTGCATTTTTAGGCTCTTTGTGCAAACGTCATGTACATAGCACCCTTTATTTATTCATTTATGAGCACATTTATAATGGTGATTGCAAACCTTTTTTGTTTAACATTAAACAATTATAACTAATACTATTATCCATATGTTAAAGCGATTTAGAGTAATTTTACACATTATATAGGGTGCTATATAATTGTTTCATATTATTATTATTATTAATACTGGCCCTCTCCTGTTAACAAAATTTGATGCTGTGTACACTTCATGTGACATACTACAATCTGGCAATCTGAAAAGGGTGTTATCCAGTGATTTAGAATGAACATGGATATTACAAAAAATGTTACTGATAATGTTTTATTAGATTTAACCTATAACAATACAAATATACTTAGACCCGGTAACTGGAGTATTGTTCCTTACCTTGTGTGTTTCAGAAGCTCCAAATCAGCCAGGAGGCAGTCAAGCTGCTGTCACCTTCGCCACAGCAGTCCATGCATATAAATAGTCAGTATTTCTCCCACAGGGTTGATCCTTTAGCCATCATGTGTATGTTTATTCCAAACATGTTCTAGACTAACCTCTGACTATGACAAAATATAATCCATTGTATAAGTCTACATATCAGTTTCATTGACAAGCAGTCCCCCATGATTATCAAAAGACACAAAAAAACACACACATATAATAGTTTGTTGATTTGGTTTGGATATCCATATATTGCAAGGACACAAGACTCCCAATAAGATTGTACCCTTATATGTGCTACAGAATATTTTCATGAGAATTTGTGTATAATGTTGTTTTAGTTATGAACATTAAGAGCATGATATGTTTGATATGTTTTATGTTTTCTACATTTTACGTGTATGTGATATGTATTTCATGTTTTGTACACTACATGTTATATATTGGAATGTTATAGTGTTGATGGCCAGTATGCCAGTCAGGGAAAACTTGGTGCTGCAATTCTGGGCAGTCCTGCCTCACAGGATGTAAGTAACACAAAGTCATGTTCCTAAAGACATTGTTACAAAATCTTATTATACAGGCATGTGTTATGCTATTCATTACATCCCGTTAACCATAGTAAGCCTTCAATTTTGGGTGATAATTGCATGAAAAGATACTTTGTAACATCCACTAAGGGGGAATGGGTAAACAAATTACCTTTCCCTCTGACAGCCTGCAATAATAGAATGCTTTTTGGCAAAATATCTTGATATTTCCTGACAGCTGACTTAACTGACTTGGCACATTGATGCTTAGGAAGTTTCTTTTAGCAGCCTAGAATCAACACACCAGTCATTTGCACTCTTTGCTTGACAAATTAAAGGAAACAGACTTTTTCGAAAGCTTGCAAAATGAGTTTTCATTTACTGTTTGTGTTCAAAACAAACTACTGGTTAGCATTGATCATTCATACTAAACTGATGAATCTCATTCTGAATGTTAGGTTATGATAACATATTTATCATCCAAACCACTGTTGTCAAGTACCTAATCGTATCTGTATTGTTCTTATATCGTTTGATCAAGTGACTTTTTCTGTTACAGTACAGAGTTTTGTTGTACGTCAGTAAACAACAACAGGTGACCAACGTGAGGATTACACCGGCCTTTGTCTTCACGGTTTGTATTGTCTCTTTAGCCTTTACATAACATCATAGTTGTAAATCTGCATTAAAGATATACCATAGTTGTATACAACTTTAAACTTCACATTGAAAAGTTTACAAAAGAATCAGCACTAGAGAAACAAACCATGCCAACCTGTATGTGTTGCTTAGTTTTGTCTATGCTACTCATCATTAATGTCCAGATTTTAATGAAGCTTTGATGCACACATCTTAACCCTCACATAAACCTTTGTATGTACCTGTTTGACTTCCATGTTGTCATTACTATTAATTATATAAGAGAGTTGTGGCCCTTGACTTACTCAATATGACCTTGTCCACTCTACTAATTTTAGTTACATCTTTGCATTCTTATGAACATGCACATGTGTAGGAGCCATTTTGTTATAAAAGAAGTATAGCCTTTGTTATAATTATCTTGCATATGATTACACATCCTCCTCTGACATCAAATGATTATAATTACTGCTTTAACACACTTCAATTTCCCTCGTCAAATTTTGAATTTAACTTGGGAGAATTAGGTATTGTTAAAGAATAAATATTTTAAAATGGGAGGGTCCTGCAAGTGTAAGTTAGCCTCAGATCAACAGGTCGAGTTAATAAAAGTTCCTGGAAGTTCAGGTTTCAGTAGACAGTTGACACAGGATTTCCATTCCCTGTTGTATAAACAGAATGTAAAAGTTGCAGGATTTCCATTTTCCCACAGATACAAGCCAACAACTATGCAAGTTTTTATGACGATGCCAGACAGAGCTGGTCCCTCATGTTTGACAGTGAAGAGAACTCGGAAAAGTTTGCTAAACAGGTATGTTTAACTTTCAGTTTTTTTCTTCTAAAAAAAAGTATGTACAATCACATTTCTTACCCAGTTTTGAATACATGTAATAGGTCTCAGAAAATGATGTAAACTCAATTGAAAATAAATTAGATTGTAAATTAGATTTTGATAAGTGAAAACATTCCTGCATTTTATTTGGCTGAATATGTGTCTTATGTATGTGTGTGTAGGTGGGTTTGGCCAGAGCCAATAGTACTGGGACATCCTTAGACAGTGTTGTGACACAGGACCTCCATCTGGGCGATGGGGGGCCACTGGAAACCGGTGACCTTGTAGAAGTCAAGTACACAGGCTGGTTACTTACCAATGGTACCTTCGGACAGGTATCTAGTTTTCTTCTTCATCATTAAGTTGATTAAACTATACACTTAGCATTGGTTAGACATGGCTGGTCAAGTATCAATAAAGACAGAAACACTTTGCACTGTGTAACATTTCATCCTTTACAGATGCACTCCTGCTGGTTTTTCAATATTCAATACTTAAAGATATGAAGTATCAGTGTTATGGGTTCTGAAATTAACATAAATATCACCCATGAAATAGATACTGCCTGTGAAAGAAAAACCACCATTTAATGAAAATTCTTAGAATAGATTCAAATAATAAAAACAAGTATTTGACTTTGTTTGGGTTCATAATAAATATATAGCTACACTTAGTACAATCTGTGGCATCTTTCATACTATTGATGCTGCTTATTGGTTTACAGACAATGTAAATGGTTAGGTTGTGAATATATATAATGACCATACCTGGTAAACATTGACAAGGTCATAGTTTAGAACTGTTGGTTACACCCATCCTATACCAAACGAAACTTTATGCTACCTGTTAGCTTATAAATACAACCTATCATGGCAGGATTCTGAAGTGTGTCAAACAGTAAGATAGCTTCACAGTACCATACAGTTACACATCCAGTCTTAATACAAGAAACTCATGTCATTCATACTTGTAAGTACTAAATATCAAAATATTAGGTAATATGAAATTTAAAAGATTTCTGCTCTCTCTCTCTCTATTCTTTGTTATTATTATTATTTTTCTTACTGTTTTCAGGAATTTGATAGCAACGTGAAAACAGAAAAACAATTTAAGTTCAAAATTGGCAAAGGCAAAGTGATAAAGGTAAGTATCTGTGCTTGTTACACTTACAATGGCATGGGTACTTCTGGACAGCAATGATGAGGTTCTGTTGTATTTATACCAAATTTTACTGTTTTAAATTCATAAAAAGTGTCTTTATAAATGTATATGACATAATGTACAATGTAGTGTTTTACACCTATTTATAATATCTCTTGCTTAATATGATTATCATGCAGAATGTTCCTACATTTTACCCTGACACTTTCTACAGGGTTGGGACATGGGAGTGTTGGGGATGAAGAAGGGATCAAAGCGCCTCCTGGTGGTGCCTCCTGCTCTAGGCTACGGAAGTCAAGGGGCTGGCAACAAGATCCCGCCAAACTCTACGCTCATATTTGAAGTGTCTGCTGTAAGGGTAAGAAAAAATCCATTATCACCTTATATCATTAATACTCATGTTAATCACAGATCAAATTTTTGCACTCATCATGTGAACTGATTCTCTTTGAATTAGCGAAAATATCATCTCTGCAACAAGAACTAGTTATACATACTATAATTTCTATTCCACGTTCATACATGAGTTAGTCATTAAAGGTACTCATAAATATTTCATTCAAATATTCATGTATAAATCAGTTAAACACTCATAAATAAGATAATTGTGAATAAGCTATTTGAATGTTCATGAATAAGTCATTTAAGTATGTGTGTACAGGTCTTTTATATAGTCATGAATAAATCATATATATATTCATAGATAAGGCATTAAAATACTCTTGTATATGTTATAATACTCAGGGATAAGTCATATTACTACTCATGAACATATTATTCAAATACTCAAGAATTCTTCATTGAAATCCATTTAAATACTTGTGAATAAGTTGTTTGAATATCTAAGGAAATGACATGCATCATTGGTATATTTCAGGTAAAATTAGCCAAAGGTGAATCACCGAAGCCCTCACCTGCCCCGACTCCAGAGCCCGTACCAACACATAATAGCACACCTAGCCCTGCACCCTCTGACCCAGAGCTTGACGACTCCACCGTGAAAGGGAGGACAAAGTCTATTACAGAACAAATGTCCCACCAGGTACAGAACTCAGGTGTCCAGGGAACACTGGGGTACAGGGAACACAGGAATACAGGGAGATAACAGTGGTACAGGGATGATAGGGGTATGGGGAACAGCAGTACATGGACAGGGCCAGCAAGGTTTGGGGAACACTGGGGTACAGGGAACACAGGAATACAGGGAGATAGCAGTGGTACAGGGATGATAGGGGGATGGGGAACAGCAGTACAGGGTTTAGGGAACACTGTGGGACATGAATAACAGGAGTAAATGGTACAGAGGAGTAAAGGGAACTCATGATTAAAGGGAACTCATCGGTATGAGGAACACATTGGTATGGGAAAAACAGAGGCATGTTGAACACTGCCAGGGCTATGCGTAACACAGGAGTACAGGGCACACAGGGATACATTTAACACTGGGGGATGGGGAATACTGGGGTACAGGGCACACAGTGGTACAGGGAACACAGGAATACGTTGAACACTGGGGTATGGGGAATACTGGGGTACAGGGCACACAGTGGTACAGGGCACACAGTGGTACAGGGAACACAGGGATACGTTGAACACTGGGGTATGGGGAATACTGGGGTACAGGGCACACAGGGCACACAGTGGTACAGGGAACACTGGGGACAGGAACACAGTGGTATAAGGAACACTGGGGTATGTTGAACACACAGGTATGTGGACCACAGGGGTATGGTGGACACAGGGGCACAGCAAACACAGGGATACTTGGAACACAGTGTTATAGGGAACACAGGGTAACGTGGAACATATACAGATTTTGAAGCTTCTTTTAGCAGAGTTTGTTTGGTTGATTCAGTGCTTCATAGATTTTTGAAAAAAACAACTACTTAAGGTCCAGATTGTTTTTTTGGTTCTTTTAACTTGGTATACTGGTAGACATGGATTTGATAACCATTGTTGACTGTGATGTGTCGGACAACTATACAGCATCTTATACAGTTTTATAGCTATGATACTGTCATCACTAATCTATATCTAAGCCTCATCACTTGGCCGTTGTATTTCAGGGTGGGAGTAAAAGTGACAAGGCTAACCTGATTTCTCGGATGGCTAAGATGGGTAAACCCATGTTGCCCCTACAGGGTGCAGTAGCTGTTGAGCCTGATAGTGATGAGGAGGAACCAGTCCCTGTAAGTCTAAACCTATCATACAAACTTGTAATTTGCACACCTATATGATTAGCGAAGGTACTTTTTTGGACTGAAAATGATGAAAAAGCTTTTACTTATGTATTTTAAGCAACAAAAAATTTCCCCAACAGCTATGTCCAGAATGCCCAGAAAATTGACTTCTGAAAATGAAAATTTAACACAAATACCTTATTTTTTCACATCATTAATTAATTAAACATACAATTTGTTTATTATATATATTATTTATTTTGTGTGGTGACAATTATTGGAAAAAGTATATAGCAGGTAAAAAAATGTTTATTTCATTGTTTGTTCACTGTGAAGTACATCAGACTACACACATCTGAATATCCTCATACACCAACCAACATATATAAACACTCACCACTTTGACACACTTCCCAAGAAACGTGTTGTGGAGAAGTCACTGTTGTATATCTCAAGATGAAAATTAAAAATAAGATACCTATTATGATTGAAACAGCGAGAAGATTTCATCAATGGCTCGGGTTTATCGTCATTGTTAACAGGGGCACAATTCATGTCAATAGCCAATCGGGTTCGCTAGTCCAGTATTTAGGTCAATAACATTATGCTTTGTATTACAAACTTACAGCTGCAGACTAGCCTGCTATTTGACCATCACTATGGCTATTCTTACTGCTGGAGTTAAAAGCTCTCCAGAATTATCTATCTTTATCATTACAGACTTCAGTAAATACTGTTTTGATAACTGTGTTTATAGTTCTGAATGTTGTCCTGTTCTGTTAGGAGTCACCTAAGCCAGTGGCAGTGACAGCTGCCCCAGTAACAGTCCAGGCCCCGCATCATGCAGCCACTAAGCCACCAGTAGTGGCCAAACCTGTGGCACAACAGCCAGTGGCAGCGCAGATGGACTACACGCAGACAGCAACGGCTCCTGTTACCACCAATCCCATGATGCATCAGCCAGCCTTTAGTAAGTTTTCTTGATGTTCATGTGAATGATGAATTATGGACTATAGTATAAACAGTTGCTACCTGAACAGAAAAGTGAAAATTACCACCTCTTTGAAAAACCTTAGATTCTATTTTAAATTGTCTATTTCTATCTGTGTAGTGCCCCCACCTGGCCACCAGATGGCACTTTACCAGTCACCACAATCACTCCTACAACAGCAACAGGCCGCTTTTCTACAACAACAACAACTGTTACAGGTATGTCACGTAGCTATAGCAACAATAGTAACATGTATGTCATGTAACTATAGCAACAACAGTTACATGTATGTCATGTAACTATAGCAACAGTAGTTATGAATATGCCATGTAACTCTACTAACAACAGTTATGGATATGTAGTATAACTATAGCAAAAACAGTTACAGATATGCTATGTAACTATAGCAATTGTGTTATGCAATTTTGCTGCAACATCAACAGACATCACTTTATTTTCATGAATATATTTTTGCTGTGATTTTGTTTAAAACGACTGATTTAGAATTTAAATTTGTAAAATAAATATCCCTGATAAATAAGATACACATTTCTTGTGTTAAAGTGTATTATTTATAACTTTAATAGATATATAATAATTGTGTCAATGGACTGGAATATCAACTCCTGACACGAAATAAATATGTGAAATGTTTATGTGACTTGCCATGTTACAAAAGCAGTCTTTCTTTCTTATTTTTTCAGCGAAATATCTGTAAATCCATATGCAAATGATCATTCTGCTTTTGCACAATTTTTCAGACATGTTTTGTCTCTTTACAGCAACAAGCATCGTTCCAGCCTCCAGTATCTTCGGCCTTCCCACCTGGGGTCTACCCAGGTGCACCACCCTTCCCTGCCGGTAAGTCTCATCACACAAGAAAGTCCTTTTGCTGGGTGTTTATGCTTAGGATTTATTTCTAGTGTAAAAATTTCAGAATGATTTTGTTGATGGTAAATAAACAGTATAAACTATATCATCATCCGGTATCTTGTGTGTGTAATTTAAGTATGGGTTGGTAAATTTACATGTAAAATCAACATGACCTGATAAACATTGATTAATACAACATATCTAGTCTTATGTTGATGCTGAAGAGATTTCAATGTTTAAGATATTAACATTTGATTTTCAATATAATAGATAACAAATTTAAATCTACAGCTGCTCCTGTCAATCAATCTGATGCGGCCACGCCCATGTTGCTATCGGAGACAAGGCAACAGAATACAGAACTGAGGCTGGCCGTGGGAAAGATGGCCGACAAGGTTGACACTATAATGCAGAAGGTCAGTGTTAACTTTCAGGAGGACCAACAAATATTTCAACTGATCAACGTTTCAAAAACCCAACTTTGTAAGACAGTTTATTAGTGTTTTAGACATTTCATGTTTCTGTTGTAGATGGATCACTTACAGACACAGCAGTCTGGGGCCCTCGCGCTCCAGTCATCTGCACCCAACATGGAGGCATCAGTACTCATGCACAATGTACAGCGCATTGTACAGGTAGGGAAGTCAACCAATTCAAGACTTTGTATAATTTAAAGCAACATATATATATAAAAAATATCATAAACTAAGTCTTAAATGGGGATATATTTACAGTTGTCATATTTTTACACATAGCCCTTATTTTCAAAAAATGAATGCTTAAAACAAAACATCTTGCTTTTAAAATAAACGTCCAATTTACAGTATTTGATTAAGCCAATGAGTGAGTGATGAATGATCATTTAAGAAATAACAGTATTTTATGTGTCACAAAAAACAGAGGCATAGAAAGATTTTACTTGTTGTGTATGATAAGGTTGATAACTTGTTTGAATTTATTCTCTGCATGGTAATGTATGATTTCTTAAAAAACACCAATTTGATGTTTTTATTGTTTTCAGGAAAATGAAAGATTACGAAAGGAGGGGTATGAGATGAATTCCCGAATTGAAGCTCAAAATAACAAAATATCTGAACTCCTACAGAGCAACCAAATGTAAGATACCTTTGTATATATGTGTCTGAATACTTTGGAATGTATTTCAAAGCCTTACCCAAAAAAAATTACCACTAGATTTCTTTTTCGAAACTGGTCTAGAAATTGTTTTGAATATAAGAAAATGCAGAAAACTCCAACTTTTGTATAAAATGCACAACAAATTAACTCTGGACTAAATAAATTATCTATTGCTGTCTACCATTGCAGAAAATAACCGTTACACCCTTAGAAACAATAACAATTACAGAATTCTTCCGTTCAGGCTTCCCCTAACAAATTCATCTTTTATACCTTCAACTCTTCGCAGGTGGAATTCATTGGACCTTTCAGTATGATCATTGACTTCTTTACATTCTTTCAAAAGATCTAGTTTATACATCTTAATTTTTAATTGGATACTTGTAGTTGAGCTGATGAAGTTGGAAAACAAGTTCACTCCAAAAATATTTATTAATGAAATTATAGGTGTTTTCTTCTCTCTGACCAGGTAGTGCAGTACATAGGTGTTTTCTTCTCTCTGACCAGGTAGTGCAGTATATAAGTGTTTTCTTCTCTCTGACCAGGTAGTGCAGTACATAGGTGTTTTCTTCTCTCTGATCAGGTAGTGCAGTATATAAGTGTTTTCTTCTCTCTGACCAGGTAGTGCAGTAGGCAATTATTGATTTTATGATCTCCTTAATACTGCAGTTTTAGCTTGTAGTTAAATAAAGTTTCATAAATACAAGTGATTATGTACTTCTGTTAACTGTTACAAAGTACATTTACTAGTTTTAATAACACACCAGAGCTAAATTTTAGTAATTTACATTTTATTCTTTTTAATTACTTATGTTCTAGGTTTGTTGAAAAGAGTCAGACATTACTAGAACAGAGGAATGAGGGGTTTAAGACGACGGCAACCACGTCCCAGGCCAAGGTGCTTTCACTGGAGCAGGAGAAGGTAAGGGAGACAACTGTCATGAGCCACAAACATTTCTTTAAATTTTCTTTGTTTCGTTCTGATAAAAAATGCAATATGTGGAGTTAATGCATTCCCACCAGTAATTGAGTAGAAGATTCATTTACCCATTTTGTTTTATAAACTCATATTCAAACATACAAAAACCTAACTAGAATAAATTATACATGTACTTGTTCTTATAACAAAAGGTACTCTACTCAAAGATATCATATTGAATATTCATACATGTAACATCTGTATCAGGTTGGGGAAAACCACAACTTGCGTATAATACGCAAACTTGTCTATTATACGCCAGTTGGAGTATTATGTTTCATGACTGAATAAATGCGACTTGGACAAACAATTTGAAAAAGTTATGATTCAAGTGATTTTGGCTATTTTTAGAAACAAATCCATACCTATATTGGCGAATAATAGACGAGTTTGCGTATTATACGTAAGTTAGTGGTTTTCCCCGACCTGTGTATATCAGACTTCAAAATCTCTGCAAGAAACATTTCCTATGATTTAAAACTGAAAATAGATATTCGATTCAAACATGTTTGTTAAGGTTCAACTGGCTACACAGTTGAATGTGGCAACATCCCAGCTGGGGACGTTACAACTGGAGATCGCAGGGATGAGGAAGAAGGAGATGGAACTACAACAGAAGCTGGGATCATCATCAAATGACTACAAGAAAAATACAGAGGAGCTGGACAGCCTTCAGGCACAACATACAGGTGGGCTCAGTTAGGGGTAAAGTTACAACATACAGGTGGGCTCAGTTAGGAAGTTACAACATACAGGTGGGCTCAGTTAGGGATGAAGTTACAACATACAGGTGGGCTCAGTTAGGGGTTAAGTTACAACATACAGGTGGGCTCAGTTAGGGGTAAAGTTACAACATACAGGTGGGCTCAGTTAGGGGTAAAGTTACAACATACAGGTGGGCTCAGTTAGGGGTAAAGTTACAACATACAGGTGGGCTCAGTTAGGGGTTAAGTTACAACATACAGGTGGGCTCAGTTAGGGGTAAAGTTACAACATACAGGTGGGCTCAGTTAGGGGTGAAGTTACAACATACAGGTGGGCTCAGTTAGGGGTAAAGTTACAACATACAGGTGGGCTCAGTTAGGGGTAAAGTTACAACATGCAGGTGGGCTCAGTTAGGGATAAAGTTACAACATACAGGTGGGCTCAGTTAGGGGTTAAGTTACAACATACAGGTGGGTTCAGTTAGGGGTAAAGCTCAACATACCGGTGGGCTCAGTTAGGGGTTAAGTTACAACATACAGGTGGGCTCAGTTACAGCTTTTATATTTACATACATGATGCACAATTACACGTCATACTGTGATGACTTTATTAGAACTTTATTAATTACGTACTGGTGGGCTCATTGTGGTCATTGATATACACATATTTATCTATAATTTAGAGAGTAAAGTTTGCTTAAATGAATAAAATCTTTTGCAAACAATTACCTTTAAAGTGATTTGTTTTTCAATGATATCTCAATCTGTTTGGAGAAAAGCAATTAGCTATGATAAATGTTTTCATCATGTTATACAGAGGATGAAGAAAGAATCCAGAAACTGTCATCAAACCTGAGGGAGGAGAAACAGAGGAGAAAAGAAAGTGACAATAAACTGTCTCACCTTACAGAGGAGCTCGCTGACCTCCGAGTCACCGCAGAAAGTCTTGAGAAGGTAATACAGTACTTACCTGTACTCTGCATCGAAATGTTAGGTTATAATGTAATGTCTTAGAAATGAACCTGACTTATGACTTGGAGGATTAACGAGTGAAAAGAGGGTAAAAGAGTTTGGGGTGAGGCTTAAGCTTGAATCTGACTCTTTGTATGACAGCAATCTCAGTATTTCAAAGGTAGCATGTACAAACAAACATAATTTTTTAAAAAGTATTATATCAGCAGTTCTGTAAGAGTGCAACATCAGGCAATGTACATGTAATACAAGTAGATAATCACTGAATCACACTATTATATTACCTACAACTTTACTCGCTACAGAATCTAGGGGATAGAAAGAAAAACGCAGCTGGAGAGAGGAGGAAAATGGAGGAAGAAATGGAAGAAAGCAAGCTACAATTTGAGGTAAAATGCTAAAAATATGCAACAAATGAATATTTTTCTGATATTAACCTATAAATAATACACAGAAGCACCTTAATATGCAAAAGTATGTTAATATACAGAAATACAAAGAAATGGATTTATTTACAGATATATATTAAGAAATATGTGAATGCAAAGAGATTTGTAACTAAATATTGTCGACTAATCATTCTTTATGTATATTTTCACAGCAAGAGATCCAGACTTTGAGGGAGAAGCTGAGGCGACAGAAAACCTCGACAGATGCAGCCAAGGCCGAGCAGGTTTGTGAACCGCTCCACACTTACAGGGATATGTTAACTCACTGTAAAAAAATCAGAAATAAAATCGATGTCTTTTGTAATACAAGTACAGATAATATTTCTCTATTGATAGATGTCTTGAAGATTTATGGGCAAATATAGCATTTTTTTCTTTTCAGGTTTTGGAAGTTTTTTGACAAAGTCTACCAGAAAGCTCATCAGACTAGGAATTTATTTTTTGTATGGCCTTTAATGCCTTTGATTAAGGTTTCAAATATTATATTCCCCTTCAGATTATATACATACACAACATATACACATATTTGTAAAAATACAAATGGGATTAGACACAAGTTAAAAAACTTAAAATTCGTCTTCTCCCTTATTCAATAACACATTTTTCACTGAGGTATGTGTAAATATTTACCAGTATATATATATATATTAAGACCATTGTAGAGCCCTTAGTTCAGCCCACCAAACAATATGATATACACATATAACATATAACAGTGCTAGTACATGATGTGTGTATCGCTGATCAATAAATGATCTTGATCAGGAACTTATTCATGTGACAACAGGTGTCCAAACTGGAGGAGGAGATTGGGGAGGAGTGGAAGGCCAAGTCAGAAAAACAGCTGGCAGCCGCTCAGGACAGACATGCCAGAGTTCTTCAGGGTGTGAAGGAAGAAAAGGAGGAACTAGAACAAAAAGTCACAGAGTTGGAGTCAAAGGTTTGAAATTCATATCTCGGTGACAAAAACAAATTAGCAGTACAGTTACGTATTTCTGTTACTTCTCTGTATGTCGAAAGATTGTTTGATTAATTAAGAAGATTTTTTTTAGATTGATATAGTAATTCGTCAACCTATAGGTGAAGTTAACATTTTCCCCGAGTCCAGAGACACAGGAAAATATAATCTTTGGAAGGGCAAGAGGTCCTTGTATTGCCTGGTAACTTAACTGGTGTGCTGATACAAAAATGTACTATACTGACTAATAATGCATCTACTTGTGTACTATTATACCGTAATAATTGGTTCCTTTATTTTAGTTTAAAAGTAATAGTTATACTTGATCGATTAACTTTGTCTGCTTTATCTAGATTCAGAGTCTGCGGACATCATCAGGAGGATCCGAGGAACGTATCATGAACCTTCAGGATCAGCTGGATGATATGACTGGCTGGAAGAACAAGGTCAGTCCGGTTACCATGGTCACAGGGTTCGAATATAATACATAATAAAAAAAGGATGTACCATGTAGCCATTTCAATTATATTTTGATAAAGAGATAAGTTCAAAAAGGAGCATCAGGAATTAATAGAATAAATTAACTTCAAACATTCTACACAGCTTATCAGATTTCAGTTTCCTCAAAAATAAAAAAATAAAATTTACTGATAACGAAAATGCGTTGCTTTAATGTCATATGTTGTTTCAAAATATGTTTTGCTGACCATGACAATGTCAGTTTAAATGTATAGGACTCTTGAGGTTTTAGCTGTTATTCTGTAACTTGCATTTGTAGTATGACTCTCTACGAGACCAGGCCGGTGCTATGAGAGACAAGTATGAGGCCCGTATATCTGAGGTGGAGGAGGAGCGGGACGGCCTGGCCAGTCAGCGAGACGGCCTGGCCAGTCAGCGAGACCAGTTGTCAGAGCAAGTAGCCACGTTACGGAAGCAAGGAGCATCACCAGCGCCGTCTGGTGGGAGCAGCAATGTATCGGTCATCACAGAGGTAATTCATTTCAGAAAACATATAGATTTTGTATTATCTGTAATATGCCTTTTAACTGTTTGCTGAACAAAATTCCATTAATGGAGTGACCTTTTATTGAGTTGCTGTTTAACACTTAACTCAGGTCGTTTCTCTAAGTTACACTTTAATACTTAAGTCACTGACAATGTATCAGAGTTGCATTGTAATACTGATCTAAGTGACATGTCTTTGGGTTGCAGTTTAAAATTTGACAATGAGACTTCCTTTTGGTTGCAGTAAAATAGACTTGGTGATATTCTTCTGAGAAGCAGTTAAATAGTTAACTCACTGACATTGTACGGGGTTAAAATGTAAAACCTGTAAGTTTATTGTAAATACAGCTGCGCATTATGTTTGTATTATTAATCCAAATCCTTTTTACAGGTTAAGAAGATAATGAACTCTGTATATCAACAACTTCGAGGCCAGTTTACAGCCGAGGGGAATTATTCTGGTGCAGACATCCTAGCCGCCATACTTGAGGCTATCAAAGTAGGTGTATTCATTGTTAAAAGGATTGCTAGCTACAGCCGATTATCACATTTTAATGAGGTAATGTTAATATTTCTAAAAACATTTTGCCTGTCTTTTTAAATTGAATTACAAAGAATGAAACAAGAATTTTGTGGGGGTTAAACAGTGCATGACCTAATGGAGTTATCAAAGTTCACAGTTGTTTTGGTATAAACTGTATAAACCCCTCCCACAAAACCCTGTTCACAGAATAAATACTACTGCAAAGTTCCTACAGGGAACATAACAAAATCAATAGCAACAGTCACTCTATGTCCAAACAGGGAACATAACAAAATAAATAGCAACAGTCACTCTATGTCCAAACAGGGAACATAACAAAATCAATAGCAACAGTCACTCTATGTCCAAACAGGGAACATAACAAAATAAATAGCAACAGTCACTCTATGTCCAAACAGGGAACATAACAAAATAAATAGCAACAGTCAACAGCCCAAAAGCTTGGACATAGAGTGACTGTAGAGGTACTGAACTCAAATATGGATGTGACATAAAAGTGAGGATAATTCAATCCCAGATGGAGCTAAGCCCAAAAGCCTGGACGTAGAATGACTTGCTATTTATCTTGGTCATTGTTTAATTGAACATATTACTTTGTAGTCAACAACTCTAAAACTAGTCCAGCAACAGTCACAGGGACCATCGGCAGAGGAGGAGGAGGAGGAAGAAGAAGATGATGAAGAGGAACTGGAGGATAGTGAAGAGGAGGAAGAGGAGGAAGAGGAGGAAGCAGAAGATAAAGCATCCCCACACCCTACCACAGAAACAGGTGAAAACAAGACATTTGCTACCCGTTAAAAAAGTCTTCTGAAAGGAAAACTATACATGTACAGCATTGGTTTAATATTGTTGTCATATTGTATTCTATAAAAAGCTGTTTCAAACCTTATGTTAAATGCCACATATATGCAATCACTATTCATTCCTTTTCATATGACTTTGGTTTTAAATAATAGGTGATTATCATACAAATCTTTTTGTTTTGATCAAAAATATTTATTTTTCAGCAGAGCCTCCTGCGGAGAAAGAGACAGCAGCAACTGTACAGAGTGCAGAAAAACAGGACCCTTCAGAAGGTTAGTCTGTTACCAAAGTAACCAGCAAAAAAATGATGGGGTGATGTCAGAGACAGAAATGTCAATAGGCTTGGTTTGTTGTTAGGGATCATTTACTGGTGCAAAGGACTTGGGTTATTTCAGTTTAACACTACTGGTGGGATGATATCATGGATGCGCTAATCAATGAAACAGATATTTAGGACCAACTAAGGCTATATCGAGAAGGAGGGAGATAAAATATACAAAATGGGAAGGTTTTCTGGTTTACTGCCTATACTAGTTCAGATAGAGTATACATATGTTCAGCAGACAGAGCAACATGCAGAAAAAAATTGTAACACCCAGCTGTAAAAAAGGTAGATACATAAGGGACATGTCACCAATGAACATTTATTTTATGTCATATCTTGTATACATTTACTTAAAATGTTGTTTAGTTAAAAAAAAATCTTCCACATCCTGATTCTCATTTACAGAAAGTGAGGAAAGTGATGATTTTGATGAGGAAGAGGGAGAAACACTTCCAGATTTGCCAGAAGTACCCAAGGTTGCTGATGATAATAAGAGTTTACCTATTGAGGACCCTACAGTAGAGCCTCAGCCTCAAAAAACAGAGGAGAGTTCCCAAAGTGTAGATAACTCAGGGTTAGAAGCAATGGAGAGTAAACAAGGGGAAGATAACTCTGATAAACAACAGGATAGTGAACCGGTGAAACAAGGGGTAGATAACTCTAATGAACAACAGGATAGTGAACCAGTGATAGAACAAAGTGTTACAGAAAATAAACCAGAGACAAATCATATAGGACCAGAAATTCCAAAATCAGAACCAGTCAAACGGGAATCAGAAAGTAGTGAAATTATACCAGCAACCTCAAGAACGCCTCCACCTTTGTTGGATGATGAGGAGGAGGAAGAGGAAGAAAAGGAGGAGGATGCAGGGAATAAGTAAGTGTTGTTATAGTGACCACTGGTCAAGAATAGGTTGGTTATGTCTTCTTTAATTATTGCTGATCAAGGAGAGGCTAGATGTGGACTCTCTTTGATTGTAGCTGTTGCTCAAAAACAGTTTATAGTAAAGATGAAAACTATCTGTAATAGTGGCTGATGGCCAAAGAAGGATACATTGTGGATTGTCTTTTACAGCAGCGATTGTTCAAGGGGATATAGGTTTTGGATTATCTGTGTTTTATCTGATTTGATAAAGCGAGCTGGTAGATGTCGAGCTGGCCTGAATTACTGCTATTTCTCAGAAAGTGCTAAAGGGGTCTTGATGAAACTTAGTGAGCAACATCCTCTTGGTCCTCAAATTTGCATGCTCCAATTTTAGATTGATCGGAAATTTAAGCTTAAAACAAGCCTCCTCAGGAATTTATCATATTGCGACTCGATTTGCATGACCTCATAGGTACGATCTATCTCATAGGTATGACCTCATAGGTACGACCTCATAGGTACGGTACGACCTCATAGGTACGACCTCATAGTTACGACCTCATAGATACCTCATGATCAGTACATGTGCTTGTTCTAGAAGAGAACAAAGAAGTGGAGAGAAAAGAACCTATGTATACTAGAAACAAGCCATAATCTTTCTGCAGTCAGTTCCACGATTATGTATAATACTCTATACCGGGAAATGTTTGCTGCATTTATCATTACAGAGAACATAAGTATACAACATAATATACATAGTAATTAGATGTGAAGGGCGACATTAAACTGGTCGAATATAGATTTTACACGCAATGAGCGAAAGTTTGACTGGGCGAAAATTTCCCAGTATACAGTAGAACAAATCCTGAAGCATGACATATATTGTATATACCGAGAATGTCATTTTACCACCACATAACTTTGTTGTTGTCGTTACAGACCCCTGTTCGGTGAGGACGATACAGTAGAAGATACCCTAGGGATTTCCTTCAAACCAAATACTGATAAAGATAAGGACAAAAAGCTACCAACAAAAAAGGACCTGGAAAATGATGAGGTTTGTGCAGGTTATTTTTATTGCACACTTGGCTTAAAATATCTATTGTATGTGAACTTTATGATAAATAATACTAACAACAGGGCAGCAAAATATACACGAGAGGTTATTTCTAATCCTGAAAATGGTATGTTGTAGGACCTGAAGCCCCAGCCTCCTCCGCCATTGTTTGGTGATGATGATGACGATGATGACTTGGACTGGCTCAGCTAATGAATGGCAAAATATGTAGACTGTTCTTTAAGTGCTCATATATATTACTCCAGTGATGACTGACTTAAGCTTGTTCAACATTAATTTCACAAAGTGCTCAAGGGGAGGGGCATGCTCTCCCATGTTGAAGGCAAACAGATACTGTAAAAGTACTTATTTTAGCGGACTCAAATTTTAGGGCATTCTCAAATTTTAACAGATTACTGCATTGATGAGTTGATGCACCCACAATACATGCAATAAGAAATTATGTACAGAAACTTTAATCAGTGCCGTCATAATTAAGCACAATATTTAGAGCGTGAAAAACGCAAAAAAAATCAGAATGCATCTAAAATATGTACATTTACAGTTAATCAATAACTTGTTTTTCATTATTTATATTGGACCAACCAGCATTTCATCACTCACTCTAGTAATGAAGAGACCCCTGCCTTGTGTAGAAGTATCGTGGCTGTGATATAGATGTCGTAAATGTGTAACTAGGAACGTGTTGATGGGTCCGTCACGGTGATGATAGTTGTAACGGAGATCGTTACTGTATGCTTGTGTTGATATGGAGAAATATCAACTTACTACATGATGGTGTGATTGTTGTACAGTATAGATATTCATTCTTCAGAAATAGTTCAAGTAGATATCAATAAAGTGACAGATCAGCCAGTCATCTTACAGGTATCGGGATGTAAGACAGTACGAATGTATTCAAGCTATGATCTAGCTACCATTGATTGGTATGTAGATGTATTGTTATAAAGAAATGTAATATTACTTTGGAAATTAATCAACAAAACACATTTTCAATCACATTCTGTGAATTCAAAGGTCATAGGCGACTGTTGCTTTTTTTTCCTTTCTTGGTACACTGGCAGTGATTTCCTTTAAAACTTTTCTCTAATTATTTTGGATATGAGTGTGACAGATTCATAGGTCTAAGGTGAAATTTAAAAAAAAAAATCCAGAACAATGTTACAGATTTAGCAGTATGATACAATGTCCACAAGGCTTTTTAATGTAATTTTATAGATATTGATTAAAAGACAAGATTAGGAAAAGATTTCATTTGTGAATTAGACTTTTTTTACAAGTTGTTTTTGAGGAAGCCTATAGATATGTCTGTATGTATAAGCTATACAAGTCGACATACTGTACTCAGTCAATATTCATGTCACTTTTGTGTAAACGTTGGAAGGTTCAAAGACAGCCATACTAGGTTGTATCTGATAAATATTGATACTCAAATTGTCTGTGTGAGGAGAGGTGCTGCAATCTGTGAGAGGAGTCGAAGTCAATGGAACGGCCTTTGTAACAAACTTTTCCACACTGTGCCAAAATATATATATTGTGCGACTACCCAGATTTTGGTTTATAAATGATAGTCATCTTGTTGGAAAATGTTTAAAAGTATCAAGTATTGACCCATTCAGCAGAATATCATTTGTATTCATTAAGTGGCAAGGAACATTCTGCAACTTTGTCATTTGTCAGTTTTGCACATAATATTGGACCACCATTTTCTGGTCAGAATTAATCATCTTAACACTTGTTGCATACGTTTCAAGTGTGCACCTATTGATCGGAAAATATTCATTATGGTTAGTTTAATCTTTCAATCAGCATCTTGGGTACTGTATAACACAACACATTTGTGGGTATTTTCTTTCTCAGTTTTACATTTACTCGTAATCTGGTCACCGACACAAACTTTCCTGGTCTGCCTGTATGTTTGAAAAAAAGTAAATTGTTCATATATTGCCCATACTTTATTGGTCATTTGACTAAGCCAAGGAAATAAACATCAGAAGTTTTATGGTGATGTCAATTAAAAAACCCAAATTATCAATTTGGCTGATTCAGGCCCATAGAAAGATAATTTGTTATTTTTACCCATTGAATTTTCCTGCATAATAAATATAGAATGATATAATTGATGACGTAAATTTAGGTGCACCTCATTTACAGGCTAGTAAGACCCCTGACCAGAGGCTGGTGTTAAACCATACACTAAAACACACATTTACAGGCTAGTAAGACCCCTGACCAGAGGCTGATGTTAAACCATACACTAAAAAATACATTTACAGGCTAGTAAGACCCCTGACCAGAGGCTGGTGTTAAACATATCTCACTCCATTGCTATGATGTACTTGAATACAGTATATATTTATGTATATTTTGTAATTATGAAATTATGAAAGCTTAAATGCTTGATGCAAATAAAATATCAAACACATAATTGTAGTTTATATTTCATTCAACATTTGTGAATAATTTATGAGTAGTGTGACTAGTCCTCTTGTCATAACTTGAAAATGGTTGATTACCACAATTTTGAACTTGTCATAACTTGAAATGGCATTAAATCACCCCCTTTGACATTGGGGTACAAGTATGTACAGGTTAACTGACTCAGAAGTTTGGACATATTTGAGTTTTCTAGGCTGTTGACTCATTCAACACAAGGTTGATCTTATTATGAAGTTGTGAATCTGAAAAAACAAGCAAATTCGTGGAATTTATATCCCCCGCTTGCAGGACATATTGTAGGTTAATATTATTGAGGTTAGGTTTAAACATGTGAGTATCGTGCTGTTGAGACATAATGTATAGCTTGAAACTTGAAGAAGAAAAAAGCCCTATACCTCATTGATGCACAAATCACATCGTTTGGCAAACTGAGCAAGAGTCGGATGTGCTTACGGAATTTGATTGAAACATCTGGACAATATCTACAGCAATTATCACACGAAAACCAAAGAGTGCCCAGGATGGGTGGAAAGACAGAGGAACACAAACATTGTAATCAAGTTTGAAGAAATTTGGCTTATATTTGCTATTAAGCGGAAACTGTAGATAATGACATTTTTCATTAATCAAGGGGCCATAACTCAGCCAAATGGAATCCGATTAGAATGGTTGTCACACTTTGAAGAGCCCTTAATACGTTGAACCCTGTTACTAAGGTTGAAGACAATCGGATAATATTTGCGAGAATTAATGAACAGAAACGGCAGATAATGATGTTTTTTGTTATTCAAGGGGCCATAACCCTGCTGAAAGTGGTCATCGGACTTGGGCAAGCCCTTAAAGCATTTTACTCTGTGACCAAGTTTGAAGAAAATCGATTAGTATTTGTTGTACTTATAGCACGGAAACGAAACGCAGCAGATAATGACGTTTTTCGTTATTCAAGGGGCCATAACTCTGCCAAATGGGGTCCACTGGAGGTAGTCATCGAACTTGGTTGAGCCCTAAAGGCATCTAACCCTGTGACCAAGTTTAAAGAAAATTGGTTAATATTTGGTGTAGTTATTGCGCGGAAACGAAGCATGACAGACAGACAGACAGACAAACCCAAATTAATATCCCCCGTTTCGGTGAAAGCGGGGGATAAAAATGTAATACGATAGATGGAATGGCATACGTTGTGAATATGCTGTAGAATATAAACATAAAAATCTAAAACTCATTAAAGGAATAAAATAAGTTTATTAAATAAATTGCACACAAATATAGAAGATTCATCATAAGAACAGTATAACATTTTTGAAAAAGAAAAATATGTACAAATGTACTAATAAATCATTATATGGCATGATCTTTGTTAAAGGCAAAAGTTAATATAAAATATATATAACTTGTATATTCCCTATATAGGAGAGTAACCAGTCCTATCCTATGTAGGGCATATGTGTGTACAACATGTGTATAGATATAACAATGAGATACTGTATACCAGGAAATCATCCCTGCAGTTTAACTTTTGCCGATGGCCAGTTGAATTAAAGTCCATTTTCACCCGTAATTGACCTGAAAATGACCCGGATCGTCATGAAGAAATGTCACCAGTGTAGCTTACTATAATAGTATTCCCATTGTCAGCACTATTTACTGTTCATTGTTGTCCACTGAACATTACTACAGATTACTTCATACAGTACCGTGAACAACAAAACTCACACTCAGGACAAAGTTGTATTTTTAACAGTAAAGGCAAAATATTTCTCTGGGTAAAAATTACCAGGTATGCAGTATCTAATAATCTACAAACAAAATGTATACTATAAACAATGGAATGTAAACATTATTACTCATAGGTATACCACTGTATTAACCGGAATATCATAATTATTAAAACCTGGAATGTGAGAAAAATGCCCTCCAAGTACAACAATATTCCAAGGACATTTCTATTGACTTTAAAATACTCAGAGACTGTTGTACTGACAGTTTATCATATAAGTGAACAATAATGATGGCTATACATTGTTTTTATACTCAAGTAATAAAAAAATATATAGTACAAAACAAACAGGTGCCCTGAGCTGTCCCCCCACAATCCCACTCCATAGGGAAGTGATACACAGTAACAGGTGGCGACAAACAAATATAGTACAAAACAAACAGGTGCCCTGAGCTGTCCCCCCACAATCCTACTCCATAGGGAAGTGATACACAGTTACAAGTGGCAACGAAAAAAAGTCAACACATCGGGTAATAACGATTCATTATTACAAAACGAACAACATATCCTGTTCATGCCAAGTTATTTTGACTGGCAGCTTACATATATTATTTGATATTTATTGAATACCTGAGCTTCAACATAAATTTGTTTTATGACAAAATCATGGTTAATTAAAGTCTGATGATAAGTGCTCATTCCCAACAGTTACTAAGCAAAGCCTAGGAAATCTAAATAACTCGTTATTGAAGCGTCTTTCACTTTGATTGTTGTAATCGTTGTTGTTATACAGGTGAAAATACTGGTAGGAAGCTCACACATGGTATTAGACCTAGTGTAAGGTGTGTATATATATATGTGTGTTTGTTCGTTGTAAATTAAGTTTATAATTATAGTAATCTTAATGTTATCATTAGACTTTTGAACACATAGTCACAATGCCACAAGATAAGTTTTGATTTTCTGCCCCTAGTTCCACCAGTTTTCCTTGGGACATGGTGCGTACTTGCCAACCAGTGCTCTGAAGCTTTTCCAAACCTGTTTCTGCTGGAAACACACTGTTCCCCCTGCTCTATGGAACTGGGAGCGCTACAAACAGGAAAAGACAAACTAGTGTGGACACTTAATACATGTAGCAGTGCAGCAGAAGTGTATATCAATACAGGAAATTTATTTACTCGAGCCATATTTATTTACAGATATGCCGATTTTGGGTATTTTTTAAACATAATTGACATGTGTTTCTTCCTGTTATGACATAAAAACAGATATATTTATCATACGACCAGTGCAACATCATAAACCAGACTCTAGGATTTTGACCCGATTTAAAATGTCATCCCCTGTAGCTGAGTTGACCTGTATCAACTAACACGATCCCCAGGTACTTTACCTGTATTGACTGACAAGGTCCCCCTGTACTTTACCTGTATTTAATAAAAAGGTCCCCCTGTACTTTACCTGTATTTAATAACAAGGTCCTCTGTATTTACATGTATTGACTCACAGGGCCCCTTGTACTTTGTACCTTTTATTGACTAAAGAGGTTCCCAGTATTTACCTATATTGATCAAGGAGGACCCCCTGTATTACCTGTCTGTTGATATCCCCTATGCATGTCCAGCCTCCTTTATCCACAGACACTGCCCACTTGGAATGATCCTTAGTCTCCAGAAAGTACACCCCACCAACAGGAAATGTCACATTCTCCACATTGTATACCTACAACAGAGCATACACACACACGTTTGTGTGACTCAAATTGGAACTTTTTCTCTGTGTGTAAGAGTGTGTGCAAGTTAACTTGTACTGGATGTAGGTGTATATGTTTACCTTGTACTGGAGTAGGTGTATAAGTATACCTTGTACTGGGTGTATGATATAAGTATACCTTGTACTGGGTGTATGATATAAGTATACCTTGAACTGGGTGTAGGTGTATAACATTACCTTGTACTGGGTGTAGGTGTATAAGTATACCTTGTACTGGTGTAGGTGTATAAGTATACCTTGTACTGGTGTAGGTGTATACCATTACCTTGTACTGGGTGTAGGTGTATAACATTACCTTGTACTGGGTGTAGGTGAATAAGTATACCTTGTACTGGGTGTAGATGTATAACATTACCTTGTACTGGGTGTAGGTGTATAACATTACCTTGTACATGTGTAGGTGTATATCATTACCTTGTTCTGGTGTAGGTGTATAAGTATACCTTGTATTGGTGTAGGTGTATACCATTACATTGTACTGGGTGTAGGTGTATAACTTTACCTTGTACTGGGTGTAGGTGTATAACACTACCTTGTACTGGGTGTAGGTGTCTAACATTACCTTGTACTGGGTGTAGGGGTATAACATTACCTTGTACTGGTGTAGGTGGATAAGTATACCTTGTACTGGTGTAGGTGGATAAGTATACCTTGTACTGGTGTAGGTGCATAACATTACCTTGTACATGTGTAGGTGTATAGCATTACCTTGTACTGGTGTAGGTGTATAACATTACCTTGTACATGTGTAGGTGTATAGCATTACCTTGTACTGGTGTAGGTGTATAACTTTTCCTTGTACTGGTGTAGGTGTATAAGTTTACCATATACTGGGTGTAGGATATACGTATACCATATACTGGGTGTAGGTGTATAACTTTACCTTGTACTGGTGTAGGTGTATAAATTTACCTTGTACTGGGTGTAGGTATATAAGTTTACCGTGTACTGGGTGTAGGTGTATAAGTATACCTTGTACTGGGTGTATGATATACGTATACCATATACTGGGTGTAGGATATACGTATACCATAGGTGTATAACTTTACCTTGTACTGGGTGTATGATATACGTATACCATACACTGGGTGTAGGTGTATAACGTTACCTTGTACTGGGTGTATGATATACGTATACCATACACTGGGTGTAGGTGTATAAGTATACCTTGTACTGGGTGTAGGTATATAAGTTTACCGTGTACTGGGTGTAGGTGTATAAGTATACCTTGTACTGGTGTAGGTGTATAACATGACCTTGAACTGGTGTAGGTGTATAACATGACCTTGAACTGGTGTAGGTGTATAACATTACCTTGTACTGGTGTAGGTGTATAAGTATACCTTGTACTGGTGTAGGTGTATAAGTATACCTTGTACTGGGTTTATGATATACGTATACCATATACTGGGAGTATGTTATACGTATACCATATACGGGGTGTAGGATATACGTATACCATATACTGGGTGTAGGTGTATAACGTTACCTTGTACTGGGTGTATGATATAAGTACACCTTGTTTTTATGTATAATGTAATTGTTGGTTTTTTTTCTATGTCTCGATAAAGGTAGGGACTGCTCCGAAAATTTGACAACATCATATTGTCTACACTGTAAGAATTACTTCCTTGCCCAATATTATATTTGGTACAGATATATAGCTATACCTTTTTCTGGGTGTAGGTGTATGAAATAAATATACCATATATTGGGTGTAAATGTACTGTGAAAGTATATCCTGTACTTGGTATAGATATATTATGTATACCATATATTGGGTGTAGGTGTATTATGAAAGTATATCCTGTACTTGGTATAGATATATAATGTATACCATATATTGGGTGTAGATGTACTGTGAAAGTATATCCTGTACTTGGTATAGATATATAATGTATACCATATATTGGGTGTCGGTGTACTATGAAAGTATATCCTGTACTTGGTATAGATATGTAATGTTTGTAAACCGTGTACTTAATGGAACAGTTGTAATGTTTGTATACCTTGTACTTAATGGAACAGTTGTAATGTTTGTATACCTTGTACTTAATGGAACAGTTGTAATGTTTGTATACCTTGTACTTAATGGAACAGTTGTAATGTTTGTATACCTTGTACTGAATGGAACAGTTGGTAGGAAGGTTTTCTTTGACTCCTCCTTTCTGCCAGGTCTCAACCATCATGTCACTTTGCAGATCAATGGCCACCAAGTTATCATACAGATCTGCAAGTAAATTGTACATAATCAGATTTTTAGTCATCAAATAATGATCATAAAAATGATTGATATATACTAACAAACGATGAACTACTTGTAGTAAAACTATGATAACTTCTCATATTGACAGGAATGAATTAAATTCATTAAATTGATCATTTTTTTTTTTTAAGAAATATTGATCAATTAATTTGAATGAAATTGAATGATTTGTAAAATCAATAAAATTGTGATCATTTACAATAATTGACCTTATTTCACATTTAAGGAACATCAGACTAGCCTTGTGTCATCAACACACATCCTGGTTCCTGAAGCAGACTGCCAGCACCAGGCAGAGACATGTACAGGGTACAGTCACCATGACGTTTAATTAGGTCAAGTGTCCTAACCACTGTGCGTGGTTGATTTCATCTCTATCAAACTTTATATACTGCATTCCACAGTTCAGAGACAACCTCAGTGTATGTAAACCATAGCGCTGGATTGCTGATGTGTACATGTGCTGTTACTCTGAACCGCCAGACTTACCAGCCATGAATTTCCCAAACTTGGCATAGCTAACAAAATTATGTCCAGCCTTCGATACCAGTGTTGTCTTGTGATACCATGGCAACTGTTTGACATGTGACTGCTTATCACCTAGAATCTGGTTCATTACAGGGCTCTTTGCGGCAAAACTGGCGGGGAAGTTTTTGTCGTAGATCTTGGGATAGGTATACAGAAACTGTTCACCTGTAACGGAACATAAACACGGTCATTGTTGATGCATCTATGTACAGTGTATTTATAAAGAACAAAACACCATACAGTCGGTTCTTTTTGTAGGGATGATATTTCTGCTAACTGGTGGAGCATACAGGTACATGTATATATGATAATTAGATACTGTATCATCTCTGATTCATGTACAGGTAAATATAATTTTATCCTTTTGAGTAAAAATTACAAAAGAAAAAGAACTGAAATAACCAACTATAAAGTATAGATATGCAATAACAGTAATACATGTCTTCACCTTGCTACCTAGATAGGACTGTGTTAATTACAAAGACTTTCACATTGACATAGAACCTGTTAATTATGAAGACATTTACATTGACATAGAACCTGTTAACTACAAAGACATTCACATTGACATAGAACCTGTTAATTACAAAGACATTCACATTGACATAGAACCTGTTAATTACGAAGACTTTCACATTGACACAGAACCTGTTAATTACAAAGACATTCACATTGACATAGAACCTGTTAATAACAAAGACATTCACATTGACATAGAATCTGTCAATTACAAAGACATTCACATTGACATAGAACCTGTTAATTACAAAGACATTCACATTGACTCATCATGCAGTTGTATCTGTATTTGTCTTGTTACACATAAGCTACTGACTGGTTTCAGGTATAAATCTCCACCAATTACTTCACCGTTCCTTGTCCTTTAAGATTACAGAGGAGACACATCCAACTAAATAACTATTCATTTTTACCATTACGCTGCCTCCTTATTCCTTTAATCGGAACTCTTAGATTTCCAAGATAGTAATGTTGTATTGTGTACATACCTATTTTTTCCATCATGGCAATGGGGTAGGAGACACACAGGAAGGCTTGTCCATAATCCATGGCACTGTCAGGCCACGCCCATCCCATAGTACGGTTGGGCGGGAAATGTGGGGTACTGTGCACCAACCAAAATCCTTCCTGGGTATCAAAACTCAACACTCCTGTTGTAATTATACAGTGACCACATTAAAACCTGTAATACAATATTGAAGTTATACTTCGTAAATGACTTATCTTAACTACACGTTTGCTATCTGTATATTTTGTATGGCCATTATGTATTGTAGATGCTATATTTCTGCAAACAATTTGCCAATGTGAATCATGAAAGGCAGTAAGCAGGGTGGAATAAGGATAGTGAGTTTGGTCTAGATACAACCAAGTGACTGACTGGCAGTGAAATAGGACACTGGATAATAGCCATGTAAGTCTACACACTGGATAATAGCCATGTAAGTCTACACACTGGATAATAACCATGTAAGTCTACACACTGGATAATAACCATGTAAGTCTACACACTGGGTAATAACCATGTAAGTCTACACACTGGATAATAACCATGTAAGTCTACACACTGGATAATAGCCATGTAAGTCTACACACTGGATAATAACCATGTTAGTCTTGACACTGGATAATAACCATGTTAGTCTGGACACTGGATAATAGCCATGTCAGTCTACACACTGGATAATAACCATGTTAGTCTACACACTGGATAATAACCATGTAAGTCTACACACTGGGTAATAACCATGTTAGTCTACACACTGGATAATAACCATGTAAGTCTACACACTGGATAAAAGCCATGTAAGTCTACACACTGGATAATAATCACGTTTAAAGCCTGGACACCATGTAGTAACCATGTTAGTCTTGCCACTGGGTAATAACCATGTTAGTCTACACACTGGATAATAACCATGTTAGTCTACACACTGGATAATAGCCATGTAAGTCTACACACTGGATAATAACCATGTTAGTCTTGACACTGGATAATAACCATGTTAGTCTGGACACTGGATAATAACCATGTTAGTCTACACACTGGATAATAACCATGTTAGTCTGGACACTGGATAATAAGTCTGGACACTGGATAATAACCATATTAGTCTAAAAAATGGCAAAGAGGATAACGTGAGATACTCACAGACAAATATATCTGGAGTACATGTACATTTAAATAATTTCTCTACATTTACTGTGAAAAAAGTATATGCCCAAAAGTATGGAAATATTCCTTTTTATACACAAGTACATGGAAACATTCAATCATACATGAAATATATTGTAATATTCCATCAAACACGAGATGTTTCAAACCTCCATCAAACACTAGACAGCACAAGGGAGATAACTGTGGGATCACTACTGGAATTAACACAAAGTGACTGTATAACACTTACCTTTAGCGTGTCTGTGGCTATGCTTACCTTTAGCGTGTTTGTGGCTATGTGTCCATGGTTACACTTACCTTTAGCGTGTCTGTGGCTATGCGTCCATGGTTACACTTACCTTTAGATTGTCAATGGTCATACTTACCTTTAGTGTGTCCATGGTTACACTTACCGTTAGTGTGTCTGTGGCAATGTGTCCATGGTTACACTTACCTTTAGATTGTCAATGGTTATACTTACCTTTAGTGTGTCTGTGGTTACACTTACCTTTAGAATGTCCATGGTTACACTTACCTTTAGTGTGTCTGTGGCTATGTGTCCGTGTTTACACTTACCTTTAGATTGTCAATGGTTATACTTACCTTTAGTGTGTCCATGGTTATACTTACCTTTAGAGTGTCCATGGTTATACTAACCTTTAGAGTGTCCATGGTTACACTTACCTTTAGTGTGTCTGTGGCTATGTGTCCATGGTTATACTTACCTTTAGAGTGTCCATGGTTACACTTACCTTTGGTGTGTCTGTGGCTATGTGTCCATGGTTACACTTACCTTTAGTGTGTCTGTGGCTATGTGTCCGTGTTTACACTTACCTTTAGATTGTCAATGGTTATACTTACCTTTAGATTGTCAATGGTTATACTTACCTTTAGATTGTCCATGATTACACTTTCCTTTAGTGTGTCAATGGTTACACTTACCTTTAGTCTGTCCATGATTACACTTACATTTAGTGTGTCCATGATTACACTTACCTTTAAAGTGTCCATGGACACACTTAAAACACTTACCTTTAGAGTGTCCGTGGTTACACTTACCTTTAGCGTGTCCATGGTTATACTTACCTTCAGATTGTCAATGGTTATACTTACCTTTAGTGTGTCCATGGTTACACTTACCTTTAGATTGTCAATGGTTACACTTACCTTTAGATTGTCAATGGTTATACTTACCTTTAGTGTGTCCATGGTTATACTTACCTTTAGAGTGTCCATGGTTACACTTACCTTTAGAGTGTCTATGGTTACACTTACCTTTAGAGTGTCCATGGTTATACTAACCTTTAGAGTGTCCATGGTTATACTTACCTTTAGAGTGTCAATGGTTATACTTACCTTTAGAGTGTCCATGGTTATACTTACCTTTAGTGTGGCCATGGTTATACTTACCTTTAGAGTGTCCATGGTTACACTAACCTTAAGAGTGTCTATGGTTACACTTACCTTTAGAGTGTCCATGGTTATACTAACCTTTAGAGTGTCCATGGTTATACTTACCTTTAGAGTGTCCATGGTTATACTTACCTTTAGAGTGTCCATGGTTATACTTACCTTTAGAGTGTCCATGGTTACACTTACCTTTAGAGTGTCTATGGTTACACTTACCTTTAGAGTGTCCATGGTTATACTAACCTTTAGAGTGTCCATGGTTATACTTACCTTTAGAGTGTCCATGGTTATACTTACCTTTAGAGTGTCCATGGTTATACTTACCTTTAGTGTGTCCATGGTTATACTTACCTTTAGAGTGTCCATGGTTACACTTACCTTTAGAGTGTCTATGGTTACACTTACCTTTAGAGTGTCCATGGTTATACTAACCTTTAGAGTGTCCATGGTTATACTTACCTTTAGAGTGTCCATGGTTATACTTACCTTTAGAGTGTCCATGGTTACACTTACCTTTAGTGTGTCTGTGGCTATGTGTCCATGGTTATACTTACCTTTAGAGTGTCCATGGTTACACTAACCTTTATAGTGTCCATGGTTACACTTACCTTTAGTGTGTCTGTGGCTATGTGTCTATGGTTACACTTACCTTTAGTGTGTCTATGGCTATGTGTCCCTTGTTACACTTTCCTTTAGTGTGTCCATGGTTACACTTACCTTTAGATTGTCCATTATTACTTACCTTTAGAGTGTCCATGGTTACACTTACCTTTAGATTGTCCATGATTACACTTTCTTTTAGTGTGTCAATGGTTACACTTACCTTTAGTCTGTCCATGATTACACTTACATTTAGTGTGTCCATGATTACACTTACCTTTAAAGTGTCCATGGACACACTTAAAACACTTACCTTTAGTGTGTCCGTGGTTACACTTACCTTTAGCGTGTCCATGGTTACTTCCTTTAGTGTGTCCATGGTTACACTTACCTTTAGCGTGTCCATGATTACTTCCTTTAGTGTGTCCATGGTTACACTTACCTTAGATTGTCCATGATTACACTTACCTTTAGAGTGTCCATTATTACACTTACCTTTAGTGTGTCCATGATTACACTTACCTTTAGAGTGTCCATGGACACACTTAAAACACTTACATTTAGTATGTCCATGGTAACACTTACCTTTAGATTGTCCATGGTTACACTTACCTTTAGAGTGTCCATGGTTACACTTACCTTTAGAGTGTCCATGGTTACATTTACCTTTAGAGTGTCCATGGTTATTCTTACCTTTAGTGTGTCCATGGTTACACTTACCTTTAGTGTGTCCATGGTTACACTTACCTTTAGAGTGTCCATGGTTACATTTACCTTTAGAGTGTGCATGGTTATTCTTACCTTTAGTGTGTCCATGGTTACACTTACCTTTAGAGTGGCCATGGTTACACTTACCTTTAGAGTGTCCATGGTTACATTTACCTTTAGAGTGTGCATGGTTATTCTTACCTTTAGTGTGTCCATGGTTACACTTTCCTTTAGTGTGTTTGTGGCTATGTGTCTGTGGTTACACTTACCTTTAGATTGTCAATGGTTATACTTACCTTTAGTGTCCATGGTTACACTTACCTTTAGTGTCCATGGTTACACTTACCTTTAGTGTGTCTGTGGCTACGTGTCCGTGGTTACACTTACCTTTAGAGTGTCTATGGTTACACTTACCTTTAGTGTGTCCATGGTTACACTTACCTTAAGAGTGTCCATGGTTACACTTACCTTTAGTGTGTCTGTGGCTACGTGTCCATGGTTACACTTACCTTTAGAGTGTCCATGGTTATACTTACCTTTAGAGTGTCCATGGTTACACTTACCTTTAGCGTGTCTGTGGCTATTTGTCCATGGTTACACTTACCTTTAGCGTGTCTGTGGCTATTTGTCCATGGTTACACTTACCTTTAGCGTGTCCATGGTTACTTCCTTTAGTGTGTCCATGGGTACACTTACCTTTAGCGTGTCTGTGGCTATTTGTCCATGGTTACACTTACCTTTAGCGTGTCCATGGTTACTTCCTTTAGTGTGTCCATGGGTACACTTACCTTTAGCGTGTCTGTGGCTATTTGTCCATGGTTACACTTACCTTTAGCGTGTCTGTGGCTATGTGTCCATGGTTATACTTACCTTTAGTGTGTCAATGGTTATACTTACCTTTAGAGTGTCTATGGTTACACTTACCTTTAGTGTGTCTATGGTTACACTTACCTTTAGTGTGTCCATGGTTATACTTACCTTTAGTGTGTCTATGGTTACACTTACCTTTAGAGTGTCCATGGTTACACTTACCTTTAGAGTGTCCATGGTTACACTTACCTTTAGAGTGTCCATGGTTTAGACTTTCAGAAGAAGGTGTCTGGTCATTGTACATCGCATACATGTAGCTACCGTTCTTCTGAGAAAACAACGTGGAACAAAAATAAAAGTTTAGTATTTTCATGTACATTATAAAGGTATTGTTCTTTCAGAAAATACAAAATGGTGTTAATATACCTTTGTTAGCCTTGTTTGTTTCTTTAAAAGAATTACATACAATGTTAGTATACATTTGTACATATAGTATTGACACTTTATCTTTTTTACAAGAAAATAAACTGACCTTCGACATATGGTCTCGGGTCACGTAATACTGATATAAACTGACCATAGGCACATGTCATTTCATAAAAAATAGATTTTGACATAGTTATATGGTCAGAAGATCACTTCATACTGACATATACTGACTATAGCCTCATAGTCATAGGAGATTTGAAGAAAAAAATATATATCAACCAAATTCTCAGGCCAAAAAATATGTGTGTTTCAGATATCCCAACCTACCCTAGATTTTACTGCCGACCCTAGATATTTTATCACCTACTTGTGTTTAAGATAAATTTATTAGCCAGGCAAAATTCACAGCAACTCATTAAAATGTTCTTTCTTCCTGTTCTGGAAGTCTGACCTTTTTCTTGACAAATTAATAGCTATTAGAGACTGACAGGTGAGTTATATACTGATCAGTGAGCTGCATACTGACAGGTGAGCTGTATACTGACAGGTGAGCCGGGACTGACAGGTGAGCTTTACATTGATCAGTGAGCTGCATACTGATAAGTGAGCTGCATACTGACAGGTGAGCTTTACATTGATCAGTGAGATTTATACTGATAAGTGAGCTGCATACTGACAGGTGAGCTTTACATTGATCAGTGAGCTATGTACTGACATGTGAGCTGTATACTGACAGGTAAGCCGAGACTGACAGGTGAGCTTTATACTGATCAGTGAGCTGCATACTGACAGGTGAGCTTTACATTGATCAGTGAGCGATGTACTGACATGTGAGCTGTATACTGACAGGTGAGCCGAGACTGACAGGTGAGCTTTATACTGATCAGTGAGCTGTATATTGACAGGTGAGCTTTATACTGACTGTGTGCTGTATATTGAGAGGTAAGCTTTATACTGATCAGTGAGCTGTATACTGACCGATGAGCTGTAGATCTGCTGCAATGTGTTGTAAACAGGGTTGGCGACCTTGCCATCTATTCCGACCTTGGACAATATCCAGGTAGGTGAATCCACATCTAGGTAGTAAAAGCCCAGTCCTCGGGACATGATAGGGTTAAGGCTCTTTGACAGGATAGGCAGCTTGTAAACAACATACCTACAATCAACAGAGATACTTTTAACAGAGTAATTGGCCAGAGATTATAATAAGAACTATTTAATTGTAGATCTTTGAAATGCAGTTTATTTTTCATGTTTGAACATGTGTTAATAATGCACACAGGGACCTGAGAATTTGTTACAGCTATATTTGGACCTAAAATAATGTGTTTAGAGTAATTTTACAGGTTTGAGGGGTTTAGATCAATACTGATAGGTGAGCTCGCATATTGGTATATTGTTATCATTGGGGTGGCATGTTTACCGAAAATGGATCTCAACACCCCGTGTAAAATTACTCAAAACACCTTATAGTGTAGGTCTAAATATAGCTGAACAAATTCTCAGGTCCCTGTGATAATGCATGCATATTATTCACGTTCATAAAGCTTACATAAATGCTGCTATAGTGCTTTGTGTCATGTATATGGGCAATTCCTGTAGGAACTCTATCTAAATCAGAGATGTATAACGATATAGATAGAGTTCCTACAGGAATTAGTGTATGGGATACTCTACTGATACCAAAATGGTTTTGATGTAGAGATCGAGTGAAGTCATATATATATGGTATAGGCCTAACGTTACCACCGATCAGCTGACCATGACGAGTGTTGAAAACGTTGAATAATCTCACCAATCCACCGGTTTTCCCGCTATAGACAGACATTGCATACTGTCCACAGTGACCAGCGTCCACCACAAAACCAGACCGGTCAGCAGGCTCCTCTGTCCCGCCATCATGTGTCCTGGTATACCCGTCTGTACCGGGTTAGATTTGCATGACGCGCGCCAGCTATAATGTACTTGAACAGGAAGTATTTTTTATACTTTCGGTTTGTTGTCACGTGATCGATCCTTATCGAAATTTTTAGCAAATATGGATCGCGATATAGACAAATTGATGCGGGAAGAAAAGGCAAAGAAGAAAATGAAGAAATGTATACACAAAAAGTTTATGTAATTGTAGACAGCATATATTTGTACAATACCGCAATCAAGGATAAACGTCTTCGTGTTTTTTATCCTCTGTTCACAAAGTCGGACTTGTGCAAGACGTCTACATTAACAAAACAAAAAAACATGAAAAATATAGGTCTATGCACGGAATTAGATTAGTCTAAGTCCGTAGTCTATGTCAATAAAATGTTGTAAAAGAAAACTTCACTGCCACAAGGACTGGAGAATGTTATTTCTTTCAGCCTATTTATTTATTCTGATAGGCAGCACAGGATGGAGTGTTGTTTTTGTTGTGTGTTGGGCGTTCAATACTTATAGCTTCACACCGGAAAAGGTCTCAACACATTATTATCAATCTCTGAGTGAGCGTACGGAACGACAACTTTGTGAACGACAAAGATGTTGCATTATTATGTTCTCACTAAACTTGTCTTCACTACACACTTAACACATATTCACTAGTACATATACATGTACCTCAGAGATACACACTAACAACGTGTTTACTATACACAGAGACACACACTAAACATGTGCACTATACAGAGATACACACTAAACACGTGTTCAAGATACAGAGATACACACTAACCACGTGTTCACTATACACAGACGCACACTAAACACGTGTTCACTATACACAAAGGTCCACACTAGTACACACTTAACACGTGTTCATTATACACAGAGGTATACACTAAACACGTGTTCACTATACACAGAGGTACACACTAAACACGTGTTCACTTTACACAGAGGTAACACACTAAACACGTGATCACTATACACAGAGATACACACTAATCACGTGTTTACTATACACAGAGACACACACTAAACATGTGCACTATACAGAGGTACACACTAAGCACATGTTCGCTATATAGAGGAACACACTAACCACGTGTTCACTATACACAGACGCACACTAAACACGTGTTCACTATACACAAAGGTCCACACTAGTACACACTTAACACGTGTTCATTATACACAGAGGTATACACTAAACACGTGTTCACTATACACAGAGGTACACACTAAACACGTGTTCATTATGCACAGAGGTACACAATAAACACGTGTTCACTATACACAGAGGTACAAACTAAACACGTGATCACTATACACAGAGATACACACTAACCACGTGTTTACTATACACAGAGACACACACTAAACATGTGCACTATACAGAGATACACACTAAACACGAGTTCACGATACAGAGATATACACTAACCTCGTGTTCACTATACACAGAGACACATACATGTACTAACAATGTGTTCACTATACACAGACGCACACTAAACACGTGTTCACTATACACAGAGGTACACACTAAACACGTGTTCACTATACACAGAGATACACACTAAACACGTGTTCATTATGCACAGAGGTACACACTAAACACGTGTTCACTATACACAGAGGTACACACTAAACACGTGTTCACTATACACAGAGATACACACTAAACACGTGTTCACTATACACAGAGGTACACACTAAACACGTGTTCACTATACACAGAGGTACACACTAAACACGTGTTCACTATACACAGAGGTACACACTAAACACGTGTTCACTATACACAGAGGTACACACTAAACACGTGTTCACTATACACAGAGGTACACACTAAACACGTGTTCACTATACACAGAGGTACACACTAAACACGTGTTCACTATACACAGAGGTACACACTAAACACGTGTTCACTATACACAGAGGTACACACTAAACACGTGTTCACTATACACAGAGGTACACACTAAACACGTGTTCACTATACACAGAGGTACACACTAAACACGTGTTCACTATACACAGAGGTACACACTAAACACGTGTTCACTATACACAGAGGTACACACTAAACACATGTTCACTATACACAGAGGTACACACTAAACACGTGTTCACTATACACAGAGGTACACACTAAACACGTGTTCAATATACACAGAGGTACACACTAAGCACGTGTTCACTATACACAGAGGTACACACTAAACACGTGTTCACTATACACGGAGGTACACACTAAACACGTGTTCACTATACACGGAGGTACAAACTAAACACATGTTCACTATACACAGAGGTACACACTAAACACGTGTTCACTATACACAGAGGTACACACTAAACACGTGCTCACTATACACAGAGGTACACACTAAACCCGTGTTCACTATACACGGAGGTACACACTAATCACATGTTCACTATACACAGAGGTGCACACTAAACACGTGTTCACTATACACGGAGGTACACACTAAGCACGTGTTCACTTTACACAGAGGTACACACTAAACACGTGTTCACTATACACGGAGGTACACACTAAGCACATGTTCACTTTACACAGAGGTACACACTAAGCACATGTTCACTTTACACAGAGGTACACACTAAACACGTGTTCACTATATACAGATGTACACAAAACCACTTATTCATGATCACTACACAAATAGATCAACTCTAATCAGATGTTCAATTAATGGAGACGTGTCATTTTGTTGTCGTTTATTCAAACTGAGCAGAATGGTATGTACAGCAGCTTAAGACAAGTTGATTGTGTGGATGCGTTACGAGTTATCTTACGACACGAGTATATATAGTCTGGGAGTAACGAACCCTGACCGGAGTTGTTGGCTCGATATTAGGGAGTGGGCAGGTCCACACCATAGGAAGGTATCTCTATACGGATGATGGGTGAATGAATGAATAATGTCATATAAATCATTTCAGAACGACGATAGTTTAACTGACACTACGAAACGGACAAAAGAGAAGTGACCGGAGCAAAAAAAGAAATAACAAAAAGATTAATTTAAAAGGAATTGCAATGTAGCTAAACAATTTGTAATATTTATGTCGACATAACTACATTTCTAATAGGACTTTAACAATTCAGTGACAAACTTTACCATTTTACCTATTAATTAAGAATTAAACGCCATTCGTGACGAGAAGATATGTCCGGCATGGCGCATTTCCCCTAAAGCTATCATCCGCTCTACTATCCTAGCTGTATAACAGGTATACAGGTACTTTTACTTTTTCTCACAGTACGTCTGTTACTAATCAAAGCAAACACTAATACATATTCGGGAACGAAAACATAATGGTATAGTGTCAGTGTGTAGTAGCAGTGCCAGCACAGTGGCTATGACGTTGAGGCTGCTGTAACTGACCCGTGCCTGGAATGCGTACGCCGAAGATATGACGTAGCTGATGACGGGGTCCCGTGGGTACATGGTAACACGGAAGCTATGTCGTTATAGATAAGAGACCCACACATGTTTCAAACGATTGTATTTTTGCATTTCGAACAGAAATGTGCTCCCGGGGCAGAAAATATGACCTCATGCCAACTCTTAATTCAAACACTTGAGTGAACGTTCAACTCAAAAACCAAATAACAGTCACAATCAAAACAGCAAATAACCATCGTTCCCCAAAACACTGAGTAACCGTCTTACCTCAAAACACTGAGTAACCGTCTTACCTCAATCACTGAGTAACAATCGTACCTCAAAACACTAAGTCACCATCGTACCTCAAACACTGAGTAACAATCGTACCTCAAACCCTGAGTAACCGTCGTACCTCAAAACCCTGAGTCACCATCGTACCTCAAACCACTGAGTTACCATCGTACCTCAAACCACTAAGTAACAATCGTACCTCAAAACACTGAGTAACCGTAGTACCTCAAAACACTGAGTACCATCGTATCCCAAACACTGAGTCACTATCGTATCCCAAACACTGAGTCACCATCGTACCTCAAACACTGAGTAGCCATCATAGCTTAAAACACTGAGTCACCATCGTATCCCAAACACTGAGTAACAATCGTACCTCAAAACACTGAGTAACAATCGTACCTCAAACACTAAGTAACAATCGTACCTCAAACCACTAAGTAACAATCGTACCTCAAACACTAAGTAACAATCGTACCTCAAAACACTGAGTAACAATCGTACCTCAGACCCTGAGTTACCATCGTACCTCAAAACACTGAGTAACAATCGTACCTCAAACCCTGAGTAACCGTCGTACCTCAAAACACTGAATTACCATCGTACCTCAAACCCTGAGTCACCATCGTTCCTCAAACCACTAAGTAACAATCGTATCCCAAATACTGAGTTACCATCGTACCTCAAACACTGAGTAACAATCGTACCTCAAACACTGAGTTACCATCGTACCTCAAACCACTAAGTAACAATCGTACCTCAAAACACCGAGTAACCGTCGTACCTCAAAACACTGAGTCATCATCGTACCTCAAAACACTAAGTAACAATCGTACCTCAAAACACCGAGTAACCGTCGTACCTCAAAACACTAAGTAACAATCGTACCTCAAAACACTAAGTAACAATCGTACCTCAAAACACTGAGTCACCGTCGTACCTCAAAACACTGAGTAACCGTCTTACCTCAAAACACTGAGTAACCGTCTTACCTCAATCACTGAGTAACAATCGTACCTCAAAACACCGAGTAACCGTCGTACCTCAAAACACTAAGTAACAATCGTACCTCAAAACACTGAGTCCCCGTCGTACCTCAAAACACTGAGTAACCGTCTTACCTCAATCACTGAGTAACAATCGTACCTCAAAACACCGAGTAACCGTCGTCCGTCTTACCTCAATCACTGAGTAACCGCCATACCTCAAACACTGAGTAACCGTCTTACCTCAAACACTGAGTCACCAACGTACCTCAAAACACCGAGTAACCGTCGTACCTCAAAACATTGAGTAACCGTCGTACCTCAAACACAGAGTAACCGCCGTACCTCAAACACTGAGTAACCGTCGTACCTCAAAA